TGTCGTACTGTACGTTGTACAGTTCAATTGGGTGTGCCGGGTGATGTCGTGCCTGGTACGTTGTACGTCATTGTGTGGCGGTGTCGCTATGTACGGTTGTCGTATTGAGTCTGCGTGTCATATGTCGTTGTACGTGTTGGGCAATGTGCGTTGTAATCGTGTGTACGTGCTTGTACATATTGGTGTGAGGCTGTCGTATGTACGTTGTAAGTATTGGTGTGGGTGTCGTATGTCGATTGTTACGTAGTTGGTGTGCGGTGTCTAGCTGTATCGTTGTACTATTGGCGTGCGTGTTGTGTGTACGGTTTGTAGTATTGGTGTGGGTGTGCATATGTACGTTGTACGTATTTGGTTTGGCTGGCGCCGGTGTTCGTGGTGTGTTACGTCTGTACGTATTGGTGTGGCTGTTTCGTGTAGTAGCGTTGTGTACATATTGCGTGTGCGGTTGTGCGTCACTGTAGTTGTACGTATTGGTGTGGGGTGTTCGTAGTGTACGTTGTACGTAGTGGTGTGTGGGTGTCGTATGTACGTTGTACGATATTGGTATGTGCCGGGGTGTCGTGTCGTGTACGTTGTACATATTGGTTGTGGGTGTCGTATTGTACGTTGTAGTATTGGTCTAGTTGGGTTGTCGTATGTACGTTGTACGTATTGGGCTGGGGTGCAGTATGTACGTTGTACATATTGGTGTGGGTGTTTTGTGTACGTTGTACATCTATTGGGAGTGTGGGTGTCGTATGTACGTTGTACATATTGACATGTGGGTGTGCGTATGTACGTTGTACATTATTGGTGTGGGTGAATCGTGTGTACGTTGTACGTTATTGGGATGCTGGGTGTGTATTGGTACGTTGTCATATTGGTGTGCAGGTGGTCGTATGTACCGTTGTACAGTGATTGGCCCTGTGGCGTGTCGGATCTATGATCATACATTCGGTGTGTGGTGTCGTGCGTAAATTGTACGTTATTGTGTGGTGTCGTTGATGTACGTTGTCATTTTTGGATGTGGGTGTTGTGTGTACGTCGGTGTACGGTATAGGTGGCACTGGTGTTCGATGCGGTATACGTCTGTTACTATTGGTCGGCCTGTCGTTGTCGCGTACGGTTGTACGTATTGTGGGTATGCGGTGAGGTGTCATTATGTACCGTTGTACATATTGGGTGGGTGTGTTGTGTAATTTGTACGTATTGGTGGTTGGGTGTCATAGTGTGACGTTGGTTAATATTGGTGTGACGTTTGTCGTTGCGTATTGACATTACACTTTGGTGTGCGGTGTCGGTGTTGTACGGTGGTACGTTTTGTGTGGGTGTTGTGGTATGAGCTACGATTGGTGTGGCGGTGTCGTGTATGACATACATTAGCGTGTGGCCACGGTCGCGCAGGTGTGGAGCCGGCAGCAGTGTGGTGTACATTGTACGTATTGGTGTGGGTGTCGTATGTACGTTGTACATATTGGTGTGGGTGTCGTGTATGACGTACATTGGTGTGGGTGTCCACTTGCAGTTTAATACCAGAATTACTACAAGTTACAACATTGAAATTATTGTAAACGTGCTTGCCTTGTTGAGAATTTTACTGTGCACATATTTTTATTTTATACATCCTATGCACTTCTTAACTTCTTAACTTTAACTAATTCTTGCTCATTACAGCGGCAAGTCTTTTACTTTAAGCACTAAATGCATATGGTGGTGAATCATTCTGGGAGCAGAATCATTTAATACACGAGCCAGATTCCGAAAGAGGATTTACCTTAGGCATGCCGAGCTTGTCAATGTTCCCTACAACGTGAAGGGCTGCATACTTTTGCTCCATCCTCTTCATCTTGGCTTCTGGCTTCTCTCCCTCTGTAAATGATGCAAACATGTAGTGCATTTCAACTGAATATAATTCCTTGTGCAAAATTTGGTTTTATTATAGAACAAACACCGATAGTACCACTTCAGTTTTCGATCTAATATAGCAACTAACTGCCAGGTGTACACATGTCAAATGCGTTAGTTTTATGAATGTATGAATTTTTGAGGTTATATAGATCTTCTCACATGTACATACGCACACAAACAGGCGTGCACACAGACATACCTTTACAGAACGGCCGTGCGTGAATGTTCTGGAAGGCGGCTGCTTCCAGCAGATCACACACCTCTTCCTGTGACTGTGAAGAAAGAGTTCAACATGCACCCTCAATACTAATTCAACCACCATTTCATACTGATATATTTCAACTGGTGTTATTAGAATAGCGTTGGTTTGGAATGAACGAACTGGTCACTTCACAGATGCTAGTGCATTTATAACTGAAATAAAGATGCAATTGGCGACATGCAGGGCAGAATCGCCAGCTGCCTTGCATGGTTAAATCAGATACCAGTCATTTCTATACACTCGAGCTTTTCTAGTTATTTATTTCGTCAGACTCACCAAGTTCTGTTCTATCAGGAGGCAGAATATGATTGCGTTTCCCACTTCCCTAAAGGCCTGGAACATTTCGGTTTTCAGGTCAGCGTACTGGGTGATGTCCTTCAGTTGTGCCTGATAATACCCCAGAACGCCTGAAAGTTTATAATAAAGAACTCTTATTAACAGAAAACAACTAACAAGATGCACATGAGGCATTACCCACGGCATACTGACAATTACTGCTGTTAGAAATAAAGCCTTTGTTGGGTTCTTCAAACACCTCACTGAATCATAAACATTATTATTAATTTATTAACACATTTAATGATCGGGAACATTTATTGTCAACTGACTAAATGCAAATACTGGGCTCTGTATTACAAGCTCTGATAATGGAGTTGTAACACATCAATGCAAACCGAATGGGCAGTGTACAACGACATACCTGGTGAACCGTAGTCATAGCGAGGTAGCTTGCACACCTTGGGCATCACCTGCATCAGCGTCTTTGTATACTCCAGCAGTGTGCCTTGTACCTGTGTCATATCATATATGTGTTTATCTTGCCAATAAAATGCTTATCATGCGCACAACACAAAAAAGGAAAAGGCAAACATTAATTTTTGCATCAGCATCATTGTATACTCCAGCAGTGTGCCTTGTAGTTGTGTCAAATCATTGTGTGCATCGTGTGTGCACAGTAAGAGCCATCTATCAGTGGTTTTACTAAATGTACAGATTGTTTTGAAAGTACTAGGACCATGAGTAAAAGTATCAGAAGAGATAAGATGAGGCCCAACTGGATAGTTGTCACTGTTGTATTGACATTAGTCTAGCAGCCTAGTCGGGTTATAAAATACATGGTGTAAAATGTCATAAAGCCAAAGCTGGCTTGTATTAAAATCCCTGATCCAAGCTTGTATCCCATCAGCTTCAATTCAGTTTATTTTGCCAATGAAATGCTTATCATGCCCACAATACAAAAAAGTAAAAGTCAAACTCTCGAACATTAATATCGACATCATTCATGATGTAAGTGCCTATAATACCAGGTACCCTACACCAAGGTGCATTTTATCCTTTTTTTTACCATTTACTTTTCCAATATGGAAATTCCACAAAATCTGTTAACCGTATGCGCCGACGAAAAGGCAAATAAATGAATCGTGATTATAAAGCATACGATCTAGTAATGATCTCACCAGGCTCTTGACGATCTTGAGCAGCTCCTCGATGACGACGGCGATGCCCTGGTAACCGAGCAGACGACAGATCACGCGGAAGTGCGGCGCCCCAACAAAGTTTGTGTAGAGCGAGTAGATCGTCTGATAGGCGATGTTCAACGCCTGAAGTGCATCGAAAATCAGAACAGACGATTAGTACAGATACGCCAATCATTAGCGACGCGTCAATCAGTAAGATAGCGTTAGGTATAGGAATTGTTGATGAGGTGTTGGGTTGATTGCAAGTGTGCTCTATCTTTTTGAAACGAATCTTGCACTGCACGAACCTTGGTGCCCCAGAGGTAGTGGGGAGCTGCATTGGGTGGTTTGTCTCGTGTTACTGGCGCGGCAAAACTGATCTCTCTCAGCTTCACAAACCTATCGGTGAGACACACAGAGCACGCACATTATTATTTTAGCCATTTAAGGTACACATATAGGTATATAAGTGGATATAGGTAAATAACTAGATACAGGTACATAAAGAGGCTTAGGTACATAAGCAGATATGGGTATACACCTGGTATACAAGTAGATGTAGCTATCCTATGCTACACTGCCATGCAGCCAAGTGCACGACACACTCAAATATGACATTCGATTTGATGTTTCTCACATGCAATTCGCTGGCAGGGGTAATTAGCAGGGGTAATTAGCAGAGGTAATAATCAGGGGTAATTTTCACACGCCCTTAAAAGTTCTGCTGCATGTGTGCTCCGACATAAGCCGGTCGGGAGGTGAGGTGAGCAGTCGCGCGTACCTGTTGGTCGACGCGTTGTAGCAGTAGTTGGGCAGGAAGTCGTAGATGAGCTCCCAGAAGACGTGCAGCGTGATGCGGCCGTACGGCGCGAGCACGTTGTGGTTCGCCTCGCGGAACATCGCGTCAAACTCCGTCAGCGTGATGTGCTTCGTCAGCAGCTTGTGTGCGAGCCGGTTCACCGCGATCAGTCCCTCAAGCTCCTACATCCAACAATGACAACAACATCGACGATGACGACACCAACAATGACAACAACATCGACGATGACGCCAACAATGACAACAACATCATGATGACAACACCAACAATGACAACAACACCGACAACGACGGTTCCAACAACGTCTACGACGATGGTTGTCTACGGGTTCGTGAAGCAACTGTGTGTTAGAGCACGGTACTCACGATGCCGTTCTTGTTCTCGTCCTTGCCGTCGACGCGCTGCACGCGCAGTATGTGGTAGCAGAAGTCGAGCGCCTCGAAGCGACGGTGCTGTCCCAGCAGCACGATCATCGCACAGCCGGCCCAGTTCAGACCCTCGCCAAACAGCTGCCTGCACCAAACAAACAACAAACGATCGGGCCGTTAGATGAGCAGAACATGTCATTAGATGAGCAGACGCGCGTGCGGGCGTGCGTCACGCATGTTTACTAGGTGGCCACTTGCTATGCTGGAATGCACAACATACAACAAACGATCGGGCTGTTAGACGAGCAGATACGTGTGTGCGTGCGTGTGTGTGCATGCGTGCGTGCATCATGTGTGATTATTAGGTGCACGCGTGCTATGCTGGCATTCTGTACGCGGGTTAACTTGCACTTGAAGTCAGATGGCGGGCGCAGTTGTGAGCAATTGTTCAATAATTTCATTCGCATTAGGAAGGTATAGGTAGTATGTATTTATAACTGATATATTTAATACAAGAAACTATTACATTTTATATATTATTACAGGTGTAGTTCACCTGTTGTGATGCATACCGAAATAAATAATTGCTATGCAGATCGACTATACTTACATTTGATTTCTAGTTCTTTGCGATAAAATACGCGGCACTAGAATTTCACTCACTGAATACTACTACCAATGACATTCAGTATGTAAGTGGGATGGGAGCCTGTGTGAGGAAATATTAAGGGACGGGGCAGGTTGGGGATAAGGGGGGTCTGTGTGTGAGGGCAGATTAGGGCTGCGGGTAGGGGATCTGTGGGAGGGCTGGGGGTGGGGCTGGCGGTCTGTGCGAGGGTCGGTTAAGGGCTGGGGTGGGGGTCTGTGTGAGGGTGGATTAGGGCAGGGGGTGAGGGATCTGTGTAAGGGCAGGTGGGAGGTTCTGTAAGATGGGAGGCGGAGGATTAGGG